CTCTCTCTCTCTCTCTCTCTCTCTCTCTCTCTCTCTCTCTCTCTCTCTCTCTCTCTCTCTCTCTCTCTCTCTCTTTTGCGTGTTCTCACACATAATAGCCGCTTTTTTTTTTTCGTTTTTCTTTTTTTTTTTCTTTTTTTTTCTTCTTTTTTTTTGCGCATCGGTGACCAGCACACTTGCGCCGCAGGTATGCTCCAACCCCACCCCGAAACCAAAGTTTCTCAGCGGATTTGGGCTGTACTCAGCAAGCGCAGTACAGACCCGAAGTCAGAACAAAAAAAAAATCAGAGGAAGACTGTTTTCTGAGCCGTCGGCTACCGCCGACCGGTCGGCCCCGATCTGTCGGTACAATACGGTCGGCGGTCGGCCCGACCGGTCGGCGGGGATGCAACCCTGGCCGGGTCTACTGTTGATATTGGTCTATTACTGGGGGATGATCCAATGCTCGAAAGCGGAAGACAGACAGAGGGGTCGAGAGGCAGATCTCACCCAACTGGCCCAGCTACTTTCCCCATCCAGCCCCCAGCGGACTCCATTGCTCCACCTCCATCTCCCTCCCTTCCCACATCTCCGGAGGTCAGCCTGCCACTTCCCTCCCGTCACCTCCCTGCCACTATCGCATGACCCCTTGCCTCCAATTCCCCAGCCTCCTGCTACCTCGCCCAACCTCCAAACCTCCGCCCGTCATCCCCATCTCCCCTTCCTCCCAAGCTGCCCATTCCAACTCCTGGTGCCTCTCTTCACCAGGCCACCTCTCCCCACTTTCTCCTTTGCATCAAAGCAGAGCAAACTGTCTGGCAATTATGTCATTACGTCTGCCTGACGAACAGGTACATGGTAGGATCCGTTTTCCTTCAAAGCAGCTGAAGTTGAAGCATCTCCTGAAGATGGAGAAGGTATGGACTTGCCTACAAGACAACTTGGTTCTGCATCGTAAACACCTGGTAGTACGTTAACTGCAGGTTGGAAGTCACTTATTTAAAAACAAGAGATGATGGACATCGTTGGTTTTCTATGAACTCTATTCAGCTAGCACGTGTGATTACTTTCACTAATCGGACCAAATACTTCCGTTTTCAGGATATCGTGGTAATATAGTTCAAGTACTTGCCTTCACTGCCCATGCCAATCTGACCAAACATGTCCTTTTCAAGAGTATAGCGGTAGTACAGTTCAAGGACTCACCTGAAGGATGTCCTTCAGTTATGTCTATTGTATGTCCTTTTCAAGAGTATCGCGGTAATACAGTTCAAGGACTCACCTGAAGGATGTCCTTCAGTTATGTCTATTGTATCCTACTCTCATCCGAAATCCTGACTAATTTGGAAGCTTGCGAGCGATTGATACTGTGTATAAAAGTTATATCTGAATCTGGTACTGCTTATCGAAGTTGGCATGTCCGTGATAATGGTTGCGAACTTGCAATTATGCCCATTGAAGTTGTTGACACCTTTTCTCTTTGCTTTTAAGGCCTTAGTTCATCTACAATGATTTACTGCTTTTTGCCAAGAAAGGTCTCTGATACTCTTGCTTATTATGTGAGCTGAAATTTGGTGTGTGGCTCAATCGGCCTTTGCAGTATGGGTGGGGCAATTGCTGTGAGAGTTGCTGCTCGGAAGGTCCTGCCTTCCCTTGCTGGACTGGTGGTTGTGGATGTCGTTGAGGTGCGTACAGGTCACATTTTAACAAGTTTGTTCAGGGGGAAGGCAGGCTGACACTGTTTCTCTTGCATCATGTTTCAGTGAACTCATCAGTGTGAGGATCTGGGAATTCTAGGATGAGATCAAGCAATGGACATGAGATGCATGGCTTTCTGTGTCTGTATGTCATCTTTGTATCTGAACTTCTGAAGTTATCTTTACGTGAATGTTTTGTCACATGTCTGCATGGGACCCTCTTCCATTTTTTGGTTACGTTCTGCAGTCTCGGTTACAGGGCTGCATGAGGATGGTTGATTCTACTCTTGAAGTCCAAGGTAGCTTTGGGTCAGGGTCTTGTTGTCCATATCAATTCGGAAAAACTTTGTGCAGGATAGGCCTCAGAATGCTACACCCTACACTAGTACAAAGACTGCATACAGATTGGATTAGGCACTTGCTGGGAGCACTTTTTGGGTTTACCTTTGGTTTGACTTGAGCGAACTGACATTTGGAAGGGCTTTTGCTGTTGACTGGACCAGGTCTATGTGCCTCATTTTTTGAATGCCCCTCCCGCCTCTCCTCCCCCTCGGGTTATTTGTATAAAACACAGCCCTATGGCTGTGATGCTTTCTGATCTGAGCAGAAGGAATCCAGTATATCACCAACTGATATCATGCTTTTGAATTTTCCCTTTCGTGAGTGCCTATGTCCTGCGGTACTACAAGATAACCATGGGCCTCGTGTCACATGTCTAAGTGTGAGGAGGAAACACGGTGGAAGACTCAATCAGACTGGACTTACTATATTCATGCATGACGCAGACAATGTGTACAGAGAGTCAATGCAGAGCACCGCACTGAGGGCAATCAGGTGCAGGACTTATTCTCCTGGCATCACGATACGCAGACAAAGGTGATGGACGTGAAGAGGACTAAGTAGACGGCTCCTGTGGCCGATCTACTACTACTCCTGATAGCTTCCGGCAACAGTATGTTAGACCTCTGTCTGGGAGAGCAATGCTCCCGAATCATGATGTCCAGCCCCCAATCTGACCTCTCTCTCTCCGATGAAACTCAGAGAGAGGACGAGAAGGATGAAGAAAGAAAAAGGACCCTGCCCCCCTTCCTCCCCTCTGGGGGCAGTGGAATATTCACCTGAGCTTGGGGGCTACTGGCCATTGGCCACCTGTCACTCTGTGATCTGCCGCAGTTCACAAACATCATCTTTTACTCTGCTTCAGAGGTGAATATTTAGAAATCTGTGAAACCCGTCATACACATTTCCCCTGCTCTTTGCATGTCATACTCTATCCTGCCCTCTCGTTGCCCCTACCTCCCCTGCCCATACTCCTAGAGAACTCTGCCTTCTACCCCTTACCCTCCACCCTCCCCTCCACTCCCCTTGTACTACTAACAAATACATACGAATGAGCATCATTAAGAGTATAGACGATATGAAGATCAGAAATGAAATGAACGGAAGTATGAAGATGAAGGACGGACACAAAGACTGTATAAGCTGAAGATCTGAAGTGAAATGAACAGATGGAAGTATGAAGATGAAGGACGGACACAAAGACTGTATAAGCTGAAGATCTGAAGTGAAATGAACAGGAGTATGAAGCTCTGAAGAGATGCACAGTAGCATACCTTCCCTTTTACTCTCCCTCCTGAAATAACGTGCAAGTGGGTTGTGAAGGCACACGGGGATGTGGGCAGCTGCCGCTCAACCACAATCAACGTGGGCAGCCTTGTGCGTAAGAGGCACAGTAAAAGGGGAGCTGCAAGAACAATGAAAGGGGTACCCCAAGGACAACCAAAAAACGGTCTAATTATAAATTTTCTTTAATATGTTGGACATCTCAAATGCTCTCGTTGTCTGCAATAGGACAAAGACTGCTTCGATTCTGAATCTATTCACCTGGGTGGAATTGGGGCTGTTGTGGGGAAAATCTAAAACACACACACACACACACACACACACACACACACA